ATAAAACTCGATATTATAATGCAAGATTTTCTATTTCTTTGAATAAAACTTACCAGCAAATAATCTTACAACAGGTATATGTACTGTAACAGGATCTTTTGCTACATCATATGCAAAACAATCAATTTTAAAATCATGTACGGTTGTTTTAACAATTGATGAATTATTTTTATCTTTAATTAAATGTGATACATCACTTGTTCGTTCAATTTCAGCTAATGCTAAACCAGTTACTTCATATGCACGAAGTAATAAATCTTTCTATTAGAAAATAAAAATAGATTCAGTTCAATAATTTTTATGTTCTACATACATCATGTGAACACCAATCTAATATAGACGAAATAATTGCTTGAATTTTAATAACTAAATTAAATGCTGTTTCCCATTCCGGATCAAATTCAATATGTTGTCCAGTTTGTCGTGTAACTTTATCCATACCCTAAATTGATTCTTATTTCATATAAAATCAATGAAATGAAATAATTTACATGTATATATATTAATAATTGAAGAAATGCTTGAAAACCATTTATAAAATTTTCGCGTAATTCATTTGTATAATGATCAGGTACAACACCTAGTAAATACCTAAAGAAAATATGTTTATTAAATTTCAGTCATCTTGTGTAAAAGTGATTCTTCATGTCAATCAAACTGTCAGCAGTTTTGTTTTTTGAAGCTTTTCATTCTCAATGTTATGATAATTATAATTAATACCTTAAATCATAAAGAATAGATTGTGCACGACGAAATTCATGTTGTATTGGTGTATTTGTTGTTCTTGAAAATAAAAGTTTTCCATGATCAAGTTTGGATTGACAATATTCAAGAAATGAATCTATTATGGTTTGAAATGCATTATGTGAAGATATTAAATATCTTGCCTAAAGAAATATTTTGATTAGTTTAAAAAGTTAGATATAAATATAAATCGAAGCGAAAGATTAATGCATGTCGTAAACATAAAATTTTTCTTACGAGACTTTGTGTAGTAAATAATTGAACGGATAATTTTAAAAAACAATCAGTACGATATAATGATGCATTATCACTTAGATATTGTCGTACAATAATCGGATAACACTATAAACGTATATGATTAGAAGTGAAACATTGTGTGTGTGTGTGTGTGTTTTTATCGACGAGGAAAAACGAAAATTAATATGTTTACGACATACT